CACCATCACCACAATCATCACCGTCATCAACAACAACCGCACCATCACCACAATCATCACAGCAGGCGACAGCAGTATGGCTATGGACATGATCTTGATGTGGTTAGTACGAAGCTATTGAGAAGAGAAGAATAATCATGATAGGAATACTATAAATAATAGATAAATAAGTATACATGTATATATATATATATACACACAAAGGTATATCTTTTATATATACATACACAGTCATAATACGGCAAGCCAGAGTGATACATAGTTTTCATGCGGCAGGGCCTTGCAAGTGCGTGAAGACTCTTTCAGGACTCCGCTAGCGGCTCCGCCGAGAGCGCCGTCAGCGCCATGGAAGGCACCGACGCAGTGGAGGCCTTCGCCGTGCGCTCGTAGCCTCCACGAAAAACGACTGTAAAGTCTTGGGCCTTGGTCTTTCTTCGTCTACTTTGAAGCGGCTGCAGAGCCCTTGTGCTGGGATGCGCAGGGCTTGGTCGGCTTTTGTTTCTAGTCCTGACTTCGGTGAATGTCAGCTTTAAGTTTGTTAAAAAGCCAGGTTTCCGTGTATTTCAGTGACACGCTGAAGAGGGACTGAAGAGAGAAGGTTGCCGGAACAAGATGCCACGTCTCTTCTCCGAACTCTGTCCACATCGCTTCTTCTGGTGTCCTCTGCTGCTGGATAGACCTGGTGATGACGGGGATCATATAGTCATCATCATGGGCATCATCATCATCATCATCGTCAGCTTTCTCGGAATTCGCCTTTGCAGTTGTGGCCGCAGGGAGATTCGGAGGAGAAGCGGCAGTAGCAAGGTACACGCTAGCTCCTGCTTCTAAGCAGCACCAGGAGACCCGCGACACACTCCTCATCTCAAGGTGAGAGAGCCTTGAATGTTCTTCCCGCCCACCCGCTTCTCGCCCCACTTTAGGCAGGGGCTCCACGAGCGAGTGAACCTGCTGTAGGGGAAGGGTTCCTAGAAGGGATTCTGAGGGTAATTATACGCCACAGAATAATTATGCGGGTTATGATACCGCAGCCTTGAAACTCAGAACTCAAACAGAAGCTCGACAAGGCTTCAACCTCAGACCCCACACCATAAACACCCAAACCGTGAAGGCTGAACCGGACCCACACCAGCTCTGTCACTGTCCGAACCCTAAACCCCTGAAACGCGAAACCCCGAAACCGCCACGCCGTGTGCCGTCGACCCCTAAGCCACACGCGGAGATGTTCAGCAGTTGGGGAAACAGGGGCCGTCACAGGTAAAAGAAGGCCCTGCACACCTCTTCACCCCGAACCTATGATAGTGCAACCGAAACCCAGAGCTCAAACAAAAGAGGGCCCTCAAACCCTAAACCCTGAACCCTAAACGGCCCTAAACGGCCCTAGAGTCCTTGAAGCCGAAGCCCAAAGAAAGGCCCGGAACGGCCTCGGATTCACCCCGAGGCCGCCCGAGCCACGGCCTCTCTGTCGCCGAGCCTGGACAAAGCGCCGGGCCGAGGCAAAGGACGGGGCGGGTCCCTGTAGGGTTTAGGGTTTAGGGTTTAGGGTTGATGTCTGAGTCTAGGGTATGTCCCAAACTATAGGAAGGTTCTGGGCAATTTCAGCTATAATACTGTTGATGATATAAATCTTGTATTGCCTTAAGGGCCCTACACTATGGGAGTTATGGTATATTCCTTATTCTGGGTATTGCAGGGTTTATATCATCAACTGTATGAAGGTTCTAGAAGGGGTTACTACAGAGGTTATTGTAAGGGTTCCTACGAGGATGTTGCAAGGGTTGCTATAAGGGCTAGAGGAAGGGCCACTTCAAGAGTGACTTGCTACAGCATCTGGTTGTACGGCCTGATAGTGGTTTACTGCCACCGAACGTTACTCAGTATTGCCAAAAAGGCAGCCAGGTTGCTGCATGGCAGCACGCTCTTCCGAATCATCATCATCATCATCATCGTTTCTCACCTCTTCTTCGTGCATATGTATCGTGACAAGCTGCTGTGTTTTGCCAGTGTGCCTTCTCATATGTCAGGATATATGACCAGATAGTAGCACGCCGTACATTACATGCTGGCATCGTCTCCCGAACAGCCGGAATCGTTGCAAATCTCCGTGCATTGGAGTCACTCTAGCCTCAAAATTTGGAATCCTGCCGGTACATGGAGGGAAGCATTCTTGTCATGCCAGTGCACTGCGGAAGCGCTATCCAGGTCTCCTGCTGGTCTTCTGGATGGCAATAATACATAAAATGTATATATATATATATATA